TTTGAAAAAACGTCGAGGATTTTGGTTCATTTAAACACACATATACTTTTTCAAAGTTGTCTTTCGAATTGAAACTATAGAAAAACATAAAATTAGTACGTCGTATTTTTTGTCAAAAATATAAAATTCTTCTGCTGAAAATTTTAAAAATTCTTGTTAATGCGTAAGTCTAAAAAATATAAAAATGTAGTTGTTTTAGCAGATATATTTTGCCTTTATAAAAATAATAACATATTTTCATATTATAACTAAATATATCAATGAATAATAAATGAATTTTTATAATCAATTAATTACAAATACATTTCCCCTTCCGAAAAGATTCGAATCCGTCAGCGTTCGAGCGTAGGATGACGTTCTAAAGAGATGTAAAACTGTGGGTAAATTCCTCTGGTGTAGGTTCGCTGTTTCCACGAGGAATAGATGGGTTTGCAGATTGAGCGTGACGTATCTCCTTTGGGGAAAAGTATGCACGATTTTAGGGGATGAAGCCGCAGCAGCCCTCGGCGCCCTGCCAAGCCCGCGGACCGATCGTAAGGTTTCAATTTATGCATGAAGAAAACGTTCCTAATAAGGATCTGGTCGGCGATGTGCGGGACCGTTTGCCACTAGATAGCTATCGAATTGCCTAGTATCGGATTTATGTTTCGGTGTTTACATAGATATAAAGTGATGTTTTACTGCCGGCCGTTTAACTGAACCCGATCGAAGATTAGAGGGTTTCTAAATGGGGATTTGTTTTTAATCGAATTGTACGTGCTGATTGTTTTGTAAACGATTTCAAATCAATCATGATTTGTTTTACTAACTACTATATTTACAACTGTCCAGTTAAGGACATTCAGTAAATTTTTTGATTAACAATTGACAACCTCGGCCAGCGGTGGCGATATCGGTTAGAGCGTGGGCTAGCAACAACTAGTTCCAGGTTCGCCGGATCGATTCCCGCTACCGCCAAGCCTGACATCAGGCAACCTTGATGTCAAATCCACTTGAGGTCATAGATTTCAAATATAGCCTCAAGTAAAAATCGCCTTCAGTGGGTATAGTTGCACATATAATATGTCAGTACATACTTCGAGTATAATAATTAGTCATAATCTTGGACAAGAAAATTGATGATTTAAATCAAGTGGCGATTTTCACTTTAGGCTACCACGATATAGTTTTCTGTCAGTAGGGGTTTGGTAGTAAATTTGGATGACAATCATGATTTTTGTTTCGGCAAATATATATTTCTGTAGCAATATTGAGTAAAGCTATTTTCAGTAGGAAATTATTTAAATCTACATTTTCAAAGGAAGACGTATATTACTACTGCTTGACTGAAAGCTGATATATAAATAAATATGTAAATTGTGAGCATATTTCAGTATGATTACGATATCAATCCTCTAAATGCATAAATTTAACAATTTAACATTTACCATATTTATAAACTATATAGTATATTCTGAATAAGATAAATAAAATTTATGTAGTCGGAGGGAATATTTACACTAGTAAAATTATACCATTACCACATCTTAATAATAATTTTATGAAATCAAATTACATGAAAATTTTCTGATTATTAAATAATATTATTAAATATTTAATTAAATTATATTAATAAATATTTTTTGTCTTTTTGCTCTTTAATATAAGCAGTCCGAAACCATATCTATACACTTATAATTGTGATATACTATTTTAATCAGAGGGCATTATCAACAAATTTGTTTTTAATTTTATGATATTCATAAGAATGATATAAATTTAATTAGACACAATTATTGTGAAAATATAACGCCCTTTTTTTAATAAATAGTATAAAAATTAGGCTAAAAATCGATAGCAATGAATCTAAAAATTGAAGTCCTATTTTGCTTGAATATGTTTTTAATAATTTTCTTACTTTTTAATAATAATAATATTAATACCAATGAAGTGATTTATAAAAGAATGATTATTAATTAATAAACTTCTGTTGCTTTTTTGCAATAAATGTCTCAGACATAAGAAGATATTACTAATTGCAATACTAAAATCAGTTTATTGTTGTTTTTCATATATTTTGCTATTTTATCAGAAATGTTAGTTTATTTTTTATTTAAGTTTTGATATACTAGACATGTTTTTTGTACATATGTTTTTATCGAAATACTTTAATTCCAAATAAATTCATTAAAATATTATTAAGATTTACATATTATAGCTTTTGTCTTGATAAATTCTGCCATACAATTTTTAATTTACTTATATTTTGAATTTCTAAACACTTTCTATTAGAAAGAACAATATTTTATCTAGATATTATATTTTATCTATATTAATAATAATGAAGTGATTGATAAAAAAACGATTTTTTAATTAATAAACTTACTAAAAGAAGATATTATTAATTGCAATACTAAAATTAATACATTATTGTTTTTTATGTGATCACATTATATCAGAAATTTTTGATTGTTTTTTATTTAACAATATTTTAAATAATTAAATAATATAAATAAAGGATTTTCATGAAATGCAAATAGTTTTGTAGTTGTTCTCAAAGATGAACGGCTCTCATGCAAGAATGTTAATTATTCAAAGTAATAAGTTTAGCACCATATCGATTTTAATTATAATCATGCAAATTAATATACAAATCATATAATCATAATAAATAATATAATAATATTAGATATATGAAATATGAATTTATTTATATAAATATAATGATTAAAATAAGATATGAAATATGATTCCATGTATAAAGATTTTATTTACTTACAAGAAAAGAGCAAACCGTAATGTAAATAAAAATGTAATATGTATCCAACAAGCTGATCATTTTTTATTGATTGGTATATAATCATTTATATCCATATATCCTAATAATATCAACTTCACAATTTTTTCAATCATTTACCCATTATTGATCAAACATGTATCGTTATGAATTTTCAACAACTTTAATTGAAATCATCGTTAGTTTTTAACACTTGCTGCCGTTCATATCAAACTCGTATTACTCGACACCCGTTGCCCCAAAAGTCTCGTTCAATGAATCGATTGCTTTTGTATAACACAGTTTGCTCGTTTATGTGCAAAACTATAATTTGGAACAATATCTGTACAGAATTTCATTAAAATGCAAATAGATTTCAAAATACGCGGATGCTACGTCGTTTATGCAATCCGTCATATGTCATGTATTTCATCATTAATCATATCTGAATACGACAATTAAAAATGTATATTGTGACTTTTGGTAACGATCAGTGCTGATATTTGGGATGAAATTTATTGCTTTCATGCACTTGGTAATAAAATATTAAGATAAGATTTTTGTTTTATCGTATCATTTTTAAAAATTCCACAAAAAATATTATACTACATATAAAAAAGTATATATTTGATTTTCTTGATTCAAAAACATAAGACAAATTTTTTATGTAATAATTGTTTTGTTCTTTTAGCAAATTGCTACATTAGAGGTTCTAATTGTTCTCTCTGGCTGTAATATGAAATACTAAATGAAATTTAATATAAGTTTTCACTTTTTTAATTTTATCTACACAAATTACAAATCTGTTCATCATATGAAGTCATTTAGTTTTTTTTATATTTATTACCTATACCAGAAGGCAGCCCATTTTTTTAACTTTCTAGCTGTGATATTTTCAAATTAAATTATTAATTGAAATAATATAAATACATTTTTATCTTACTTTTCCTAATTCATAAAATGACAATATCAACAAATTTCAGTTCTTAAGAACCTATAAAAAGTCAAGATTTAGACAAATCAAATTATATAAGTCATCAGCATTTAATGAGAATTGTTTAATTTAAAAAATCGATAAATTCCCTTTGCATTGAATTTTTAGTTTTATAAGTTAGTACTTTCTAAATTAATGTAACTTTCAAAAAAAAGACTAATACATAAATTACATTTGCAACTTAAATTCCTCAATCCCAAACTTCTAAAATTTAGTTCTGTTTTCTATATAAATATTAACTGAAGTCTATGTCACTCATATTTTTATATCAACTTTTGTAGGAACGTATATTATAAACATATATATGAAACTGAATAACGGTTTAAAATAACTTTCAAACTTTCAATGTTCATATACGAATATTTCTGAATTTCATATTTTTAGTACTATTTTGGAATGCAACACTCTACTGAATATGGGCAACAGATGTCAGTTGCAGAATCGAGATAAACTTTCAGAGATGCAAAATAATATTTTGTTTGAGTCACTTAATAATTGTTTATTTTTGCAAAGTTGCTGCTATTAATTATTGCTGCTGTTTTACCAACCTTATATGTCAGATTATTTCCTACAAGCCATAATTATTTATTTCATGCAAATGTACTATCTAAATAATTTATGTAATCAGTGCATTGGTTACTGAACGTTGATAATTTCCAAATTCACGTAAACATATAATTTTGCAATAAATTTAACCCATAAAATATTTTATAGACTCATTAATGTCGAAACCATGATAATTTTATAGATATTCAGAACTTGGTGTGTATATATATATATATGTATATATATAGACTTTAACCCCATAATATATGAAAATCTGCACTTAAATTAATCTTTATTCATATAAAATCATATATACAATATACAAATCATCGTTGCAATTACAATTATAACAGTCTTGATGGTAAGCATTTATGTACATAAGCCATGTGAATAATCATAAATTAAACAAAAACAGTTGTATAAATAGTTCAAGTACAAGTTAACAAATATTTGACTAATATTTTCTACCTCATTTAATTATTTCAATTTAAATATAGTAAACACAACCTTGGCGTGCGAGTAGTAGATGAATATTAAGTTAATTTTAATTATGGTAAATGTAAAAAATAAATAATAATATATACTAATAAAAGACTTAATATAATAAGAGCATCCTAATATAAATAACAGATCGTAAAAATGTTTAAATTAAAAATTTCATATTATTCTAATGTAAGTATGAAGTCTATGATATTGAAAGCTTCTTCATAATCCATTCGTTTTGATAATATTATGTATTCCATTTTTATGTGATCCATTGGTATAATTTCCGTTCGTATGTTCTCCATTTCTGTAATCTCCGTTTGTTTTCAAAGATGTGCTATCTAATGTCTTTTTCTCGATCAATTTCGAGTAATCGTTCGGAGTCAATCCTAGCATATCCTTAACCTCGGTCGATACACCGTGACGCAGGAGGTATTCGATGACATCACGTCTTCCGTGCAATGCAGCTGCATGAGCTGCCGTTCTTCCTGAAAACCAATCACTTTTTACATAAAACAAAAATATCTTTCTTCTGATAAACGAACGCTCTATGTGTTCTACCGTAAATTTTCCATTACTTTCTTAGAACCCTTTTATATGCAGTAAATCTGGTTTTAAGCAAGGTCGTTCAACAACAAAATACGAAAAAGATAGTTGATTAAACGATTTTCTGGTTGAACGCAAAATGTGAAACGTGGAAATTGTAAATAGATTGTCGAAAATATTTGCTTCGTAGAACACGTGTAATACTGATGTTTGTTATCTTGAATCAATAATATAAACCTCTATCACATAAATAGAATATTATCTCATGTTTACAAATAATTTCCGCGAACCTAATATTTACTTGAATCGTAATAATAATTAATTCCTCATCTATAACCACTTACCGCTAGCATCAGATTGGGATAAGTCAGCTCCTGCTAATCTATAGCCTTCCAACCTGACAAGTAATCCTTTCTCAGCGGCCTGGACCAAATCATTGCCGCAAGAAGAAACCAGATGGGCTCCAGCTTTTCTTAAAACTCTTATTACCTCGTGTCTGTCTTGATCTATTGCATCTCTTAATGGTGTTCTACCACGAACATCTCTTGCATGTACGTTGGCGCCGAGCTTTAGCAAACACTTAACAACTTCAATTGATACGTCCACATTAGCACAAGCAACGTGCAAACTTGTTCGTGCCTCTGTATCAACAGCTGTAAAATCTGCGCCTTGTTTATGCAACTCTTCTAATCGTTCTATGTCATCTGCTAATACAGCATTATTTAGCATTGATGGGTATAAAATGTTATTCAAGTTTTTCTTTTGCATTTTTGAAGTTACTTTCAAACATCTTGCTACTGCTTCTATCAAATCTTCTGTATCTTCCGTGGTGACATCGGTCAGTTCTCCCCTTAAGCTAGTGCGCATCATGAAACGCCGCGTAGGAAGGTCCCACTCGGGTTTAGACAGGACATACGAAAGTTTGCATAGGGCAGCTTCCGGGGTCATATCTACCCCGGAAATAACTCCACAATCACGTAACACTCGTCCAGTTTCATACACCTCACTAACCGAGCCTTTGGCGCACTGGGTTATGTTGACAATTATTACACCTCGTTCAGAGGCTTCTGTGAGGGCTGCTGTTAATTCACTTCTGCTGCAAGGTATATTACCTGCGCCAAAAGTTTGCAGAACTATTCCTTCTACAGGTGGCCTCAAAAAAGATCGTATTGTATCACCTGACATACCAGGAAAAATACGTAAAAGACCTACATTTGGGTTTAAATCAGTGTGAACTGACAATCTTTCAATTTCTTTGGGTCGTATAAGTGCGGCTCTATCAATTTCAACCGTTATCGACATAACAGCTAGTGGCGGATAATTCGGACTCGTAAATGCTTGCAAAGCATCACAACTCGTTTTTACAGTTCGGTTACCTCTGTATAACTTGTGACCGAAGAATACGCAAACTTCTGCAATATTGTATCCACCCCCAGCCATTATCAAGGCTGATAAGAAATTGTCACGACCATCGGATCTAGTTTCGAAAATTGGAATCTGTGCACCAGTCAAGATGACAGGTTTACCCAAGTTTTCGAGCATGAAACTCAAAGCCGAAGCGGTGTACGATAGAGTATCAGTCCCGTGAAGTATTACGAATCCGTCGTAAGTTTCATACCAATGCTCAATGTCACTTGCAATTTTAGACCACTCTTTGATGCCCATGTCGGAACTATCCAGCAGAGGGTCGTATTCTAAAATAGAGTAAACTATTCGTCTGCGCAAATCGTCATCATATTGCGGCATAACTAACGGTGTCGAAAGTCCTGTACCGAATCTTTTCTCTGCATATTCGGCATCATGCATATGTTGGTAGCCACGTATGCGTTTTTCAAGTGCGTTCGGATTTGGTGCCAAAACTCCATATTTATTTTTCATCATGCCTATTGTGCCACCGGTATACAACACCAGCACTCTTGATTCAGTTTCCGAGTTGGTCACGTAGGTAAAATTAGATTGCGTCATTTTTTGTGTTGATTTCACCGGCAGAATCGAGAGGTCGTTGAATCACCTAGTATATTTTATAACGCTTCGTTGGCGTAGGTCACTTCTTGCCGCATGCGGCGTTTATGATGCAATAAATAGAAGAATTTCTGTAGAAAAATGTTATTAAAACATACTTTTAATATTGCTTGTCGTTTTTCAGCGGGTAATTTTATATAAAGTAATAGATAATTAATTTTAATAAAAACCAAAAATAGTAAAATATTTTCAAAACACCTTATAATGCACTGACATATAATTTAGCACTATAATGTATGCGCATCCTTTTGAAACATTACACATTTATTAGCATATGTTGACTACATATTATGATAATAATTAATGTTCTGATTTTTCCATAATTGAAAATAACTATAGCATCAACCTTTTGACCCGGTGTAATTGCAAAACTGTTTTATTAATTTATTTTTCATTTTACATCAAACGTGTGGCAAGCAATATGTCACAATATTATGATAATATCCCATACACAAATTATAAGGTCAGGGTCGGAGTGCTTCAACGATTTAATTGATAATTTGGAAGATTATTTTTCAATAATTATTTTTCAAAGATAAGCGATATAATGGAATCACGCTTCATGTAACATGTTGTACGAAAGTGTAAACATGTTGTTTGATTTATGATAATAATTTTGCATTGTGTTGTTTCAAAGTTCTAATTCGTTTCGAATATGGAATTAAAAGATAATAAAATATTTGCCACTAAAAATTGCTGTATGAAACAAATTATCTTTGTATATTATAATTATATTTTGATAATACTATAAAGTAATTATATATTTTTTGACTTTATTAAATTAAAATCTAAATATATTATTTTAACTTTTATTGATGCCATTGATACCTCTATAATAATCCGTTTTTAATTAAAATTTCACTTTTCACTAATAATATTAAAAATAATACACTGTCACAGAAGTTTTTATATTCATGTAATCATATTTATTATTTTATAATAAATAGTTAATAAATATATATTATTTTGTTTCCACACATATATTAACCTCTTCGCGTTTCGCGGCGTACTGACCGCGTATTTCTCTAATAGTAGGTTAGTGTGGAATAGATTGTGGCTTCGGCCACATGGAAAATTGTTTACATCGATATTTAATATCAGTTCAGTTTGAAAATATTATTTTAATCTAATAGTTTTAATATTAATATACTTTATCATTATTATTTTTATTATATATTCAGAACTGTTCAATTTATGAGAACATTTAGCAAATTTGATCATGTGCAACGATCACACAAAAGACATTGCTTTGAAATATAGGCATGTTGAAATTACAACTCAATGGTTAATTTTCCATTATATAGATAAATTATAACTATATTCAAATAATTATAATATAAATCTGAAATATATTCTTTTAAATAATAAAATTAGCATGTAAATTTAGTTCTGAATAAGAACCAATGTAGACTTAATGTAAGATAGATCAAGTCGCGATTTTCTTTTAACTACTATATGTAGTAGTTTTTTGTTATTATATATAGATTTAATATTTTTATATTTTAAAATTATAATAATATAATATTTTAATAGATAATATAATAAAAAAATGTAGTTTATAATAGATTAAATTTCTTACCTTTCAATAGGGTAAGTTATAGTAATCGCAAAAAAATAAAAATGTTTGCATACCTTCACGTTTCAAAGGTTTCTGAACATTTTGGCAAATTCATAAAAAGGGATGTATGTATGTATGTATATGTATGTATGTGTGAATCAAGTTTTCGTCAGTGATTTTGAGAGTAGAGATCAACCGATTTGATGATTCATAACATTAGATTCCTATTGAAAGGGATTAGTTTTTGGCAAAGGCAGGTCTAGCTGTTTTGAGGATGCGGGGTATAGTGCAACAAATGGCAATTAATTTTTTAAGAGAATGTTTCGACTGATTCAAATTCAAAAACATTTTACTTGTACATTGTATTGATGAAATGAAGAAATGATTAAATTTTTAGGAAAGCAAGTCCAGATAAAAGTTAAAAATATGTCATTTTGCGGTTATTGGATATAGGTTCATTAAAATTAAAGTACCAAATACTTTATAGAGATTTTAATCCTAAGTACAATTACACTTATAAAGTCTAGACAAATGTTTTCAATATTTTCTATAGTAAGGGTTTAACCGACTTGACTTTTGAATTCAAATTCAAAAACATTTTACTTGTATTGATAAAATGAAAAATTGATTAAACTTTTGGGAAAGCAGGTCCTGCGGTTTCGGAGATCCAATAAAAAAATTTAAAAAGTGCCATTTGGTGGTCATAAACGATCATTAGACGTATTATAAGCACATTAAATTATTAGATATTTTATAGAAATTTAAACAATAAGTGCAATATTTGTTTCCATTTCTATGGGTTCCGTATCAAGATTTATATTTTTTTAAGTTCACTTATATAGTCCAAAATTTACGACCTGAACCGATATCAAAATTTTCAATGTGTATTTATCATATGTCACCAATTTCAAATATAGAATTTTCTAAAAAAATTTTTATTAATGCTTACCATCTGTCCCCGACCTGGGCCGTTTCGACGGGACGGCATCGTAAAACACGTGCGTGCGAGATCTTTATTCTAATCTCTAGTGCGAAATACGAAACGCGATTGTGTTTGCCGAGGCATGTCCCACTACCAATACAGGAAACGTAACCAGTAACAAAAAAAGATAACGCCGAACCAGGGGATCATGTGTGTGCGTGGTCACACGCTTATAAAAGTATTTTCAGTGATGTAGCGTTTAAGAAAATAAATACATTTCGCATAATATAATTCCTTTTCGAAGTGAGAGCGTGCAAACGAGCTATTTGCACGATTTTAGCGACTTAGGTTTAACACAGAAGCGGATTCTTAACTTTGATTTAAAAATTTCTCAAATATTTGTACCGAACCTCGTTAGGTATAATGTAACATCTATAAAATAATTATTTATTATAAATAATTAATAAAATTACAGTAACGTTATTTTAGCGGAATTCTAAAATACATGCAACTCTAATTTTTTACCCTCCTACCACAAATCTCTATATTATAATAGTCGTTTTTGTAATAGGTTCACTTTTTACCTAGCTTTCAGTCAGTGAATGCTTTTGATTGAATTTCAATTTAAATTTATTTGACCTTATGGAAAAGCTGCAGTTTACTTCAAAAGGGTTATCCAACCCTAACACTTTGCAAGAAATTTTGAAATCAATATCCTTTCTTCTAATTTTTTTGATGCAGAATTCTCCACATTTTTTTTATTTCTATTTTATTTACCACTGTCCAGTTGAAGACATTTAATAAATTTGTGGAATTTGTAATTGTCAGCCGTAAAGAGACATTGTATACTAAAGGGGCATTTTGGAAAAACAACTCAATAGTTGTTTTCCCATTCGATATAATATTTACAATATTTTATTGATAATTATATAACCTTAACTATTTACTTATAAAATAATTTTTTATAAATAATGACTAAGTTATTTCAATTTTTTATTAGTAGTGTTGATGACTCAAATCCAGTGGCGCTTTTCTTTTCAACCATCTTAAATAGTTCATAATAATCACTTTAGTAGCCCAATCAGTTATTTCTGAGCTTATGGAAGGGCTTAAAATTATCTGTTTTTTTCGCTGAATCATTTTAAAAACAATTTTTAGACATTTACAGGTGACAGAAAGGTTAACACCGATAAAACCTATAGCAATTTTAACAGAGTTCTAAAAATTTCACTCGATTTGCTAGACATGTCGCTACATAATTCGAAAATCAATTTGGATATTCCGTTGTATTTGATAATATATTAATATATCAAAACCATGAATCTCTGAATGTACCAATTCAATCAGTTTGTCTATTGTCCCTTAATATTGCCAAGGTCGTTTATATGTGGCATGCTTTGCAGTGGGTAAATCATCCATATTATTTTTGTTAGTTGCTCTTTTTGCTTATTGTTAAAGTTTTGCCTTCAGCGATGGAGGTAATTTTGGTATGTTAAAACACAACACAAGTTTTATAGATTTATTACAGAATACAAATATTATTATACACAGTGGTGTTGTGCTAATATTTTTTTTGCCGGAACGCTAAAATTTAAAATCCGGTTCAAAAAATTTGATATATTTCGATAAGACCTCACAAATGTAATATATTGACTTATTATATAATTAACTCTATTATATACAGCTAGTCTATACATTAAATTGTACAAGTATAAGGGAATCATTGAGTACATAATTTATATTCTTCAATGACATTAATTATATTTATTCTGGTATTATTTGTATTCATTAATACCTACATGTATTTATTATGATATAAACGTACTCAAGATTTATTACAATACTTTATAAGATAACCTAATAATATGATAGATAACCTATTACCTATCATACTATATTATATTATTGTCTATCATAGATAGATATCTATTATCTATCATACCGTGAGATACCTATACCGTCATTAACTTATTATATACCTACATACCTTTACTTATTATAAATACTACTTTATATATTC